AGAAAGTCTACGATCTACGATTAGGTATTAGCTTTTCAACAACTTAGAAATATTTTGAACGGAATAATAAAAAAATATATATTGAATTCGCCTGTCGAATGATGTGAAGAATTATGCTGATCTAGTAGGCTGTTATGTTGCACCTCCGCCGGCCTTCGGCCTGGTTAGATAACATGTTCCTCGATCTGCATAACATGATCGTGCTGTCCATATACGCAAATACGCCTTTGCGTACAGCTGAAAGCTGGAAAAAAAAATTTGCTTCCTTAAAGAATTTTAATCATTAAATCCGGATAACTGATAAATTTTTCTCACTATATTGGTGTCCTTGTCCGTCTGAAGGGTAGAAGTCTAGTCCTTTGCATCAGAACCTCCTTAATGGCGTCACTGTTATATCTCCTTTTGCTCGTAAGCATTGCACCATACAGATAACAATAGAGATGGGTAATACAAATAAATGGTGATTGCATTTTCCTTCGTATTTATCTACTGAAAATTCTGTGGGGGAGCATGCGCCCAGACCCCCATAGTTTGGGGTGCCTTCGGTGATTTACCTTTTCTTTCCGTGCGTACAACTTCAAAAGCTTACGCTTCTTTCCTGAATAATTCTTCACATCATACTCAGCCTCATTCAATAATTGTTGAAAGGAAGGATCGCCAAGAAAGAAAGAGGAACAGGCCGGTATCTATGGTTCTATTTATAACACAGGCTAAGGCTATTAGCTCCCTATAAAAGGTTACCTATTTATAAGTCTCCATCGTCCCCATTTCCACAGTACCGCTGACAAACTCATAACCACGCTAAACCTAAGTCAAAGTAACCAGTTTAGATGAATATTAAATTGCGGAACAACGTACCTAACTGAGAATGTTAATGGGGTTTAACAGTCAGCCATCACTTGGCCTAGAAAGATTTAGCCGTCAAAAAAGGTTATTTGTACCGTCAACCGTCAAAACTGAATGTAGGTCAAAAAGTTCTAAGGTATTTCACGTACTATTTCAGCTGATCTTCAAGGGATTATGGCTCAGTCCTGTTTCTAAATTGGAAAAAATAACAGTTTCATGGCGTCTCTAAAAGACTCTTGCTAGACATTACAAGACAACTTAACTTGCTTATATCTAAAAATATTTCAAAAGTGAAAGGCCAAGACAACCTCCAAAACACAACAGACAGATCAATGAATAAAGTACGTGTGGGCAGGAAAAGAATATGAGAAAACTGTTTATTAGAAATAATACACTGCTCTTATATATTTACCAGACATGCGCTAGATAAGAAATAACTTTAGCTTGATAACCACAAAGTTTTCCAGGAACAGCATATATAGAAGACCGTGTTCAAGTTTTTCAAACAAAGTTTTTACTCTCGTTGTTCAACTATAGGTGTGTAACAACGTAAACGCGTGTGTACTTTTAAGAAGCGTTAGCGATAACAGGTTTAAATAAAGTAGTCAAATATCGGGAAGTCGTAAGATTAGGGGATTACATGTATAAAACCCAAGCAGGAAAGGTAAAGGGTTGTATGTGACATTTTAATTTAGCATTCAGATAATATGTAGAGTTTAAAATTACATTTATTGAGAACTAAATTGAGCCTCTGTGTGGGTATTCCGGACGACATCGAAATTGCGACGATCGCTCAAGTTGATGAAGTGACGATCGTATTGCCATTTCAATTTTGCAAGTTTCACAACTCAGCGTTAGTCGTGCAATGACGGCAAAGAAGTCTGCCAAATAGTGTGCTGCACGTTCAGTGTTTTTGCTGTGCTTATTAACCTTTTTTTATTTTCTCTTTTCTTTCGTCGTTTTGGTTGCGCTGAGCTCGCTAATAGCGGTTAATGCCACTCAAAACAATTCTTGACATGCGACGTGATTTCGCATGAAAAACTGACGATTTCATCGAAGACAAACGTCGAAATCGACGTCCACAGGTACCCATACATTGGCTCTATATTCATTTAGCTTAAATTTACTATGTGTGCATGTAGTTTGCGTTATCCGCGTTAGTTTTTACTTCCTCGTGTATTAAGAAACCTTTAATTATTACTCTGCCAATTATATACCCTTTGAAAATAATGTAATAACAGCATTGAAAACAATAACAATCTTGGCGGACCGGGCAGATTTCTAGGTCGCAACTTGGACATAGCATGCATGATTTGAGTTCAAGAACTAGAACGGGACACCCAGCACAGCATGTAAGACAGTCTTAGATTTTGGTTTACACGCGGTGGATTCTTGATTTTGCATTCCGAAATTTCCCGTAATTCGGAATCCGAACTCCCTTAAATGGAGCGAGCGAACTCATTAGGATACCTTTTCCAAAGGTTAATGAAAGTAACCATCCACGGCTTAAATTTTCCCTGGTACCGTCATTGACATCTTTCAATGTGTAAGATTTATGAGCTTTCTAAACATTGTAGTGATCAGCGTGACATAATAAAATGTAGTTTGAGGCAACTGAGTATTGCATCTTTTTTGCGTTCAAATTGTTGTTCAG